CCAAACGGACACTTTATAAGCAGGCTGTCGCCACATTGCAGCTCAGAAGTGCACATCCTGACACGTTCAAGCGCGTCAGCAGGAGTGAATTGCTTCTCTGTAGCAGCTGAACTYAGACTGGGTGATAACTGTGCTAAAAGTCATTGTTTTGGTAGGATGTTGACTCACACGGCTGTTTGTTTATGTCCAGAGGGGTAAGGAGGAGCTGCGGGAAGCGGTGACCTTGCTGACAGCCCAGCAAACGTCCTTAGAGATCATTGTCAACATGTGCTGCTCTGACGGTGAGTGTTGAGGGCACAGACAGTAGTGCTGACCCCAGGGCCCTCTCCATCTACTTTATTTCCTCTGACAGATCTACCAAGTACGCGTTTGTCACTTTGAAAAAAGGCCTTTACAGCAGAAAAATTAGTGAAATGCATCTAAGCGTGCGGAAATAATCTGCACCATTCCTAATTTGTGTCCCTGCGGTTCTGTTCAGACCCTTCTGATGATGAGTGGGAGGAGGAATCGAGCAGCGATGAGAGCGACCTGGGTCCTGATGGCCTCTGTGATGGAGTCTGCAATCTGATGTCTCCTCTGTGTTTGTCAGCTGAGGTTCAAGGAGCTTTGATCAACCACAGCATTCCAGAAAAGGCAAAAATCAATCTGCTTTCTGTCATTTCTTATCTTATCACAACAGAGAACTTTGACAATCATAAGAAATAGTTCAACAGTTGTCTTACATAAACTGTAGTTATAAACCTAAAATGTTTGATTATGCAGAAAGCCCCACCTAACTTCACCCTCAGGGCAGAACAGATTGTGTTTCTTACCTGTTTTTGATTATAGAGAGATCTCTTTCATACTTGTATAATCACACGGTTTGGTAAAAAAAAATGTTATATGTTTATTTTTTTTCCCCATTTGACTCAAGGTTCTCAAAAAGACAGGATTCCCCAGACAGGAAGCCATTAATGTGTGTCAAGAGGATCCGTCCTGGAGAGGCCTGACTAAGAGGTATTTCTCTAAACCTCTCAGGCTCCCTTGAACTTCAGTGTCAAACCAAAAAATTGTATTATTGCCTGTTTTAATATTTCAGCCAATACACTTGCAAAAAGGTGCCTGATCTTTGTTTAGGATGCAGCGTGTTCAGTCCCGAGCGCTGACGTGCCTCCACAGCATCCTGTCCACTATGGATGCTGAGTCTCTGGGTGGAGCAGCAGCCCTGCAGGGAGCAGCGCAGCACCTGTCCACGCTGGTCTTCGGGGCTGAAGGTCTAATATTTTTGTGGAATCTTTGTATTATCTATGTATTTCTTTGATATTGTATTATTTTCTTGATGAAATGTAAAAAACCAAAACTAGATGTGTAAAATTATTATTTTCTTGTGCTTCAGAGATGCCCAAGGATGTAGAGTTTTTTGAGGCAGTCATTAGTGCCATGCGGTCTCTCCTGCAGATGATTGCCTCCAAAAACATTGCCCAGGTACAGAATACATTTAAAACCTATGTAGCATCACTGATAAATCTTCCTGTGTCTTCACAAAAGAAGAAAATGTTTTATACTGCAGAAATATGTTATTGTTTCACAGGGACTGGACTTAATTTTAAGACACACTTTAGGTTCTCTTTCTGTCACCTTTAACCATATTTACCAGTGCTATGCACAGCTCCGCTAATGGTTAACTTCTCATTTACTGATTAGCTTTTTTGCTAACTTTGAAAACCTGTTAGCAGACCAATTAGCTACTGCTAAATTAGTTAATGCTAATTTTAAGTCCACAAAAAAAGTGTTAAACTGTTTTGATGCCATTTATTCCAAATTAAATAAAAACTATCCCATCTTACAAGCAGCGCTAAATGTGTCAGGCACCATGTGTGTAGCATGTAGCATCTTTAGGAGCTAAACTTCAAATTAAGAGCATCAAAAAATAAATAAATTCAGTAATATTTACTTACACAAACCAACCTTCAAATTAAACCAATAGAAAACTAACAACAGGTTTGTCTCAGTCTTACCACCAGTCTTCAGCTGGAAGGAGATGACTGTCGTCTTAGCAGTTAGCATTAGCTTCTACTTGTTTAGTGCTCTAATGTTAGCGATGCTAAGATTCTTGTTTCGCAGATGAGTGGTTAGCTGTGCCCACCACTGTTATTTACATTCACTTTTTCTCTTTTTCAGTGCATGACTCCTCAGCAGCTGATGAGCCTGAGTGAAGCAGCAACACGCTGCGATGTCATCAGTGTCAGGGTCAATGCCGTCGCCATCCTGGGCATCACTGGAAGCACTTTAGCTAAAGAAAAAGATTCAGCAGAAATCCTTCAGGTACAATTTTTTTTTTGTCTCCACTTCTCATTTAATGTTGGCTCCTTTTCTAAAACCTTTCTCTCTTCCAGCTGATCGGGAACGCCTTACTTCAAGTTGCCACAAAGGATGCAGACCTGGTCGTGAATGGAGAAGCTCTTGATGCTTTGTTTGATGTGTTTGCGGATGGAGAGGAGGCAAAGTTAGCTGCTAAAAACATTGGTTTACTGCCAGCGCTTAAGGCACTTCAGCCAGTCTTCAAGACTAAGGTGGTTAAAATGAACTCGTGTTTAATAATAATCGCTTTGGAATTAATATTTTTGTCTTCCTGTGGAAGAAAATACATGATTTTTTGTAGTTTCTTTTCTCTAAATGTCTTTATGACTAACTTTCACTTTCTTTTTTTAATCAGATACGTAAAGAAGGAAAAGGAAAATACAGCCCTCAGCAGCTCTGTGTGCTGGACAACATCAAAATCAACCTGAGAAGATTTATTTCTTACCTGGAAAAGATGGTGAAAAAATAAAGACTTTGTGTTTTTCTCACTGTGATCACTTTAAAAGTGTGTCTAACACAGTATGGGGCAAAAAATGACTGTGTTGCAGTCAATTATTTATGATTATTTACTTTAAATAATGGTTTACAATTTTTYTTTAACAATGTTGAAGTTTAAGACAGAGAGGTTTTAGTCCGTAGTTCGTGCATTTATCTAACAATGACCCAGACTTTTGTATATTTTAATGAAATTTCAACATTATCAAGTGAAACAACTAAATCAGGTGAACAAACTTCAACTTTTCTCATAAGTACTCATGTTCTCTAGTGTTTGGATTTACATTGATGCTTTGTTTTTGTGCAAAAAGGATCAGTCCTGGACAAAAACCCCTTATTTCATTAACCTTTTACATGTAAGTTGTCACTTTTTGGAGAAATGAGGCGCACAAAAATATGGTGTTCTGTGTCAGTTTTTCCCAACTCAATTTTAAAAAGTTTATTTTTCACAAAAGTGAAAGTTATTTCAGGAACTCTTAACAGGATGTAAATGCTGTTGTTGAAAATGATTTTTAAAGTTTGTTAATAAAAGCAAACATAATTCAAAGTTCCTGAAGGTACAGTACAAATAATGACCTAAAAAATTATTCTTAAAATTAATCAATTTTTGAGTTTTTTGTGGATTATGGTGAAGTAAGCAATTCACCAAAAATGTAATTGTTTGCTAATAAACTGAATCCTAAAAATATTAATCTTTCTATTTGTCTGGAATAAAACAACACATGTTAAAAAGTAGCTTACAAAAAGTGAGATTTATTGAACTTGCTGGGGGAAAGAAACTTCTTATGTATATTGGCTAAATACATTTTTATGAAATGGTCATAGAATTGTGATCTATGATGTAATCCATGTGTTTAAAGGTGATCGATTGTGCATGCCTGTGTTGCATCAGTTTTGCAACTAGTGATAGGATCAACAGTTCATTTTAGTGTACTGTGTCAGAATCAATTCATTAAAATGATTTGTGTCTTTTTTTTTTCATATGTTTTTACATTTTTCTCTTCTGAGTGCACAATCAATCCTCACATGGATCCTTTTCCTTCCTGTCTGTTGACCAATTGTAGAGGAGCTTACCCTGGAAGGGCAGCCCACCTTATTTGCATGAGACAGAAATGCATAAAGTAAAGTAAAAACAAAAGACAAAAATGTATAAACAACTATAAACGGCACATGGAAATAAAAACGTGTGTAAAAAAAAAACTAGAGACATTAATCTTCAAGTAAAGCAGAAATATATATATATAGAGAGAGGTGAGATAAAATATATAGTTTGTTGAAACTGGAAAAATATATATGAAGGTCAATTAAATGTAAAACAACAGGAGGTACAGTTATTTATTTTTAAATTAGTGCATTTTATTGTATTATTTTATTAGGGGATATATACTTTAATTTTAATTAAGTCAGTTTCAGTACATTTTAGATTTAGGCCAAAAATTTAATATTTTAAAAGGGTTGTACGTTTTCTATAGGTTAATCGAATATTAAATCAGAGCTTGTTATGTAACAAATAAACCAACTGTCGCTTGCGTAACAGCTATGTCCCCGCCCCCTTTTCACTCAGTCCGCGCATGCGCATTTGCCGGGAAAGGGTCAGAGACACTTGGATGTCAATCCGCTGCACGTTTCTACAGTGTTCTACAGCAAGTTTGAGTTCATTGTTTTATCCTTTTTACGACCTGACTCGTACGTAATTGTTAGTTTTCTGTCTATGGGTTTAGTTGTTAATTTCACGTACGGCCATTGTAGCAGCGTTTGTTTATTTTTAACCATGTTCTAGAAGTAACGGACAGTGGTGAACCTGAGCTAGCAGAGGTAGCGAAGCTAGCTAATATTAGCTAGCAGCACAGGAGCTAAGCGTCGCTTAGTGGTGGGGTGGTGGTGGGACGGCGTTTGCCTACAGCGTCGTTTGATGGATCCGAGAATCGCCTGGTTTCAGCCAGAACAACTTGGACCCGCTAACAACCTGTGGATGCAGATCTGGGAGACGACCCAAGGGTTCGGGTACTTGAACGTAAATAATAGCTACAGCATCGGACCTCAGAGCACGCCGAGCCTGAAAGCGATCGTCAGCAGCGGGGCGTCGGGACCCGTCCCCAGTTGCACAAACGGACCACTTCTTGACACGAGCACCGACTGTGAAGACGTCGAGACCGAGAGCTCAATGGGGGACGGAGACGTACCACAACAAGTCGACTTTATACCACTAGACAGCAACAGCAACCATAATAACCGAGCCTCCAGCAGGGGCGGTGTCGGCGGAGGGGGACAGCCGAGCAGCGGGGTGCTGTGGAGGGGACTCACGGAGGGACACCCCAACAAAAGGAAAAGAGACAATAAAGCTAGCACTTTCGGATTCAACTCCAGCCTTTTGAACAGCGGCTGCGGGTCCAACACGGACAGATATGAAGGTTACACGGGCACTCCGTGGAAAGTCAGGAACTACTCCGAAGGAGTTGTGGGGTAAGATATTCAGATTTGTTTGCTCTATTATAACCAGTGGAATCATTTTTTATTGTTTGATATCCAGTAGGGTGAACCTCTAATGTGAGTGTTGACACTGAGAGGAAATTATAAGTGGGATGACTGTGARTTTGTCCATTTAAACACTGAGGTATTCAGCCCCTCCCCACTCACTGTGCTCCTTTCACCCAATGAGTCAACAGATGCACATCTGTAATATAAACAGTGGAAGTGCATATTTTCTGTGCTAAAGAAATTTGGGAGATGGAAGTTGAAACAGTAGTTCATATTTTGTCAGCCCACTGTTGAAGTTATAGTAGGTAGGGAGACTGTGGAGAATTCACTCCTTAAAAGGTCATGGTTGAGTCCTGAGTCCATGTTTGGTTCCTTTTTATATTTTAAAATTCAATGTTTTCTTTGTAGGAAAACAACCATGGATTAGTTATCTAAGTGGATGAGTAGAATTTGAAGTCATTATATGTAGGGTAACCTTGATAATTGCATGTGAGGATGGGCCTTGGGGCAGTTGTATGCCTGTTGTTCTGCACTTTAAAAACTCATTCAATCAAAATAAATAAAAAAAAAAAACATCTGGCGTTGCTCTTTAACACCTGTGTCTCCATGCTGTGACAATCCTGGTTCTTCACAGCTCTGTGTTTATGGTTTATCCATCAACTGTGTTAGTGATATGAACTGGACACAGCTTTGCACCTTGATGCCATTTTTATCCCAATAATCAGTGCTGCCACTCAGAGTTTACGTTGGCTGAAAATAAACAAATCATTAGACCTTATTGACGCAGTAATTTGCAAAAACAATCAATGGCTCCTAATGTTAGGAACATACAAGTCCTGAATTCTATTTTTGTAACATCTTAGCATCCAGAGAAAGTAACATTCGATTTATATTGGGTAGTTTGTAAAATATTTGGGTTATGTTCCAGCTAGTCTGTTCCCCTCTCTCATAATACCGTAATAATCAAATTATTACTATATTTCATTTAATTATAAATCAAGAATGTAATAATAAGAGAATAATTGAATACTGAGCATGACGATTTAGTCTTAATGTAGGATTATTGTCGCAAACTATYGCACCAAATCTTATAAATATCAAACACATATTGAAAGACACTTTTACATACGTTGGTAGCATTTGAAAAAGACATTGTTTTATTTTTCACAAAATAGTGATTTTTCTAAATTCCCAGCGCTGTTGATGTGAAATGCTAAACGAACTGAGCTCATACAGTTGAAAACTCCAGAAGGACACGTTCTTTACAGTGAGACAGAACATCATTTCATTATATTGCTTATAGAAGGGATTTTTTTTTTTACAAACATTATGAGAAATATATACCATTTATGCTTAAAATAATTTGTAGCTTAGTGTTAGTTGACAAAATTTCTAAAATAAAATCTGTAACTGAGTGCTTCTGGACAGCACGAACCTTTTTACCGTTCTTAAAACAATTTAATTCAGTTCCTATTCTCTTTTGTACTGCAGGAACTGTGGCAGATCAGTTCTTATAACTGCCTTTTCTACAATCGTTATTTATCTCCAGCTTCATAGTAGGAGCTTTTATTAGCACGACAGTATCTACAAGTGTCTAAAGGCTTCCACGTACTCAGTCAGCGCGTGGTCACGTGGTTGTTTGGCATTTGTTTTCGCACACACTTTTCATAGTTCCTGAGACACACTGTGCCGAGCTCCTGGGAAGCCCCTCCCACTGCGGTACGCGTCACCGCACGAGGTTCCTTCCTACTGGAGTCTACACTCTGTGAAAAAACATAAAAACAAACTCAAATCTGTCTCGGTTAGATCTGCCGTTATTTGTCCTCAGAGCTAACGCTCCACATGGACTCTTCTGTACAAAACATCGTTTTTAACTCCACTCGTAAGTTTTTGGCCGTTTAAATGTCTGTTTCTTGTTACAACAATCACGTTCAGGAAGCAAGTAGTTGGAGCAAAATCTAGCGTCTGATCGCTTTCAGCATAAACACGCATGCCCAAAAATGTCTGACCAATCACACATAAAAACTTCTTAGCAGTAGGGGGGAAAATGTTCTGCCGGCAGGGTGTGACAAGAAGGGGTGGCCGGAGTCAACGCTGAGAGCACGGTGACGTAATTTTCGTCATGAAACTGCGACAATCTGAGCCGATGTCTGCTGGTCAGAGGAAGTATAAAGAGGCCTTAAGTATCATTGGTCTGATTTAAAGGCATAAGGAAGTTTATTTGTCCCACTTAAAAATACATTTGTACTGTATCCACATTTTCTTGTGCTAATGAAAGTAGGTAGATTGCACAGATTTCACATCTCTGCAGGGGTTTCTCAACAGCCTCCACTCTATGCACATGTGCAATTGTCACGTGTTGAGACTTTCTTTGATATGCAACAGGGAGTGTCTGAAAATCAGATTGCTGTTGTCATGTACTCTGCAATATAAATGCTTTTTACTGAAAACCACCTCCATGTAAATTGGCCCTCGGCCTCTGTATTGTAAAGCAAATCTGTTGTGGGTGCCACAGTCTATTACTTTTCTTTGTTTCATATTTGTCACCTGAAAACATGCATCTTCTATCCAATTTTGTTGTAATATTAACATTCTTTGATGCACAACAAGTAGCTCTGACTGTGATGTAGGCGACTCTTGTTTTGGTGAATGTTGTGCGTTGGAGTGACATGGCTACTCTGACCTTTAGCCAAATGTTAGATGGTCACAAGGTTCTTCTGATGGTGTGAAAGCAAACAACAAAAGAGACGTAAATCTTACAAATGCTCTTTCTCTTTGGTGATGCTTCTTGTAAGAGGTTGCCAAACTGTTTTGCTAAGATGACTGGGCTAAAATATTTTTTTAAAGATCTCCTACAGTTAGGTCTATATCTATTTTGGACACTGACACAAAGACCTGTTTACTGAAATATATTCTAGTTATAGTTATTTAACGGACATAGACAAAGTCCAGATTTTCAGCTTTTGTTTGAAGATATCCAGATATCTGCTTTTAAGGGACCAAAAGTAATTGGACTATTGACTCAAAGGCTATTTCATGGGCAGTAGGCAGTTCCTTCATTATGTCTTTTTTATTTAAACTATAAAAAAAGCCTGGAGTTGGTTTGAGGTGTGGTGCTTCCGTTTGGAAAATTTTACTGAGGAAAACGTGGGAGCTCTCCATGCAGGTGAAACAAGCCATCCGTAAGCTGCGAACACTGAAAAAACCTATCAGAGAAATTAGGGCTGCTACGATTAAGCGATTAATCGACAACTAATCGATTATTAAAGTAATGGATGACTAATTTAATAATCGATTAATCKTTTTTTTTTTTGTTGTTTACTTTGTTTTTCTCTCCAAACTGCTTTGACACCTTCCACTGCCACATCTGCCTTTCTGTCATTGACACACATGCACAGCAGTGGTAACTGGGGTAGGCCATGGACGTCACAAGTAGGGCTGCACTGATTAGTTGAAATAATCGATGACATCGATTATGTAAATTTGTCGACGCAGATTTTTTATTATCGATTCGCTGTATTACATAACCACCAYGTGAATGTTCATGCAATTCCATTTCGGTATCTAAATGCATCATTGCGACCGTATTGGCATAAGAGTGGTGAGTTTTTCATGCTTGTCCTGAACGCAGCATCGCGCAAGAGTGTAATGACGTCAGCAGCCGCTGCTTCAGTTCAGTCTGAAGTTTGAAAACAAACCTCACAGCTCCTGGAGTAAAATTTACCGAACAGATCGCCTCTGAATTATCTGGTGGGCTAATTGTCTTGTGAGCACGACGTTCGCTTGCTCAAAGTAAATAAAGTACCACCACTTTCTTTATTTCATCCACCATTAAACAGAGACCGGTGTTAAGTCGAGCTGCGTTCCCCCATCAGACGGTTCCCCCAGCATCTCAAACAACAGAGGAGCTTCCCGACACACGTCTGACCTAAAGAGCACAAGCAGCCAACAAGTGTTGGACGTGTTCTGGATGTTCAAAACGTAGCTTAAATACCTTTTATTTATTTTAACTGCATCCTCTTTTGTTTATTTGATTTAAACTTATTTGCCTTCCATGGACCTCCATCACACATTTTTCTAGTGGGGAAATGACATCAATAGAAACACGTGGTGGAGCTGGATTTTAATTTGTGTAATAAGACAAAACAGTCTTGTTGTTTTCAACAGTTTTCACCTTAAAGAAATAAGTTACACAACTGATGTTACAATACAAAGAGTTGGATGTTGTCTTGATATTTTGTTAATTTTTATATATTGAGAAATATGTTAAATAAAAAATAATAAATAAATGTTTATTATAGTTTTTTCCAGAGTGACTTGAATTTTGCATGATTTAGTTCATTTGTTAGATTGTTAACATCTTGCACTATATTTCTTTTACTTGAATTTTATATGCTTTGGTTGAGATTTTATATTGATGTTAAATCTTTTAAGCTTTTTGTTAGAATTGACTCTAGAGTGCATATTTTGTGTCCATGAAAAAACTATTACAGAAAATATTACAATATTAATGAACTGTTCTTGTTAATTTGATGAAAACATTTTAAATATCCAGTGCACTCACATCAGAATAACTTATAGATTTGTTGTTAGAATAATCGATTAATCGAAAAAATAATCGTTCGATTAATCGATTAGAAAATAATCGTTTGGTACAGCACTAAGAGAAATTGCTATAGAGAGGCATAATCTTCAGTTTGGTACATCCTGAGAAAAAAAGCAAGCACTTGTGAACTCATGGAAGACAACAACACGCAGAATCCTTTCCATGGTGAAGAGATACCCATCTACAACAGCCAGCCARGTGAACAACACTCTCCAGGAGGTACGCGTATCAATATCCAAATCCTCCAAAAAGAGAAGACCGCGTGAAAGTTAAAAACAGGGTTCACTGCACGGTGCAAGTCACCCATAAGCCTCAAGAATAAAAAGGTTAGACTGGACTTTGCTGRACCAATGACCCTACACATAAAACCAAAGCAACC